TCATAATATTATGACTTTATTGTTGTAATAATAAAAAAATCTCATTGTGTGGCCCTACTCCATTGTAGCTAAACCCGATTTATTAATGTTTTTTTATTTGTTGATTTACATGTAACGTTTTAACTTTGAAGTTATTCTTCCAGTAAAAAGACGTGTAAATAAACGTCCCGACACATTTTAAGTCCAACATGAAACTGATCACTATGGTAATGGGGTAGCACGTGGTCACGCAAGCTCACATGAAGCTGACATCAGACGAAGGGTAGATCGTCACATTTCATAGCAGTTTTGAGCATACACGGCCCAGGGAAGATGTGGACCAGCTAAGAATTCAGACACAGCCACATTTAGCCCACATTTAGACCAGAGTTTGTTTCCCCTGTTGATCTAGAGCTTTTACGTAGGTGTGAATACACTCGTGCAAACACTGGTGTGAACCAAACAACCGGACCGAGACCCATTTTTGATGTGGTCTCGGTCAGCTTCCAAACAAACTCAGATGTGAATACAGACCAACTACAGGAAGCGTGCCTTTTTGTACTTCCCGGGCCACCATTGCTAAGCAACATTAGCCCTTTGGTGCTGCTAATGCTAACACTGTGCTACAAAAAATGAGTCATTGTGGATCAGGGAAAGGGGAGCATCTTGTCTCATTTAGGTTGCAGCACACATTTGACAACGCTGTCCCAAAATTATAAGTATATCATCGCAAAATCACASTGAATGAGCTGCTACTGATATTCCTAATAATCAGTTGTATCAAACAATCATTGCCCTTTGTATTTATAAAGTTTAAATCACAAACTTGAAATTTGTATTATTAAGCTATGGAACTTGTAACTTTTTTAATTGTATTTTTATGTTTTGTGTGAGATTTCAAATACGAGTTTACAAATATATAGTTATGCACAACTTCTGATCTTCTGATTAATATGCACACYACTCTGCTTTTACACATATGTTTATTTTGACAGTGATCTTACCTCATAGTTTGTTTTCAGTACACCACTCGTGTTCGCAACTAATGACCATGCAAAATAAAAATAAAAATAAAAATCTAATCTGTGCAAAAAAAATTGGAATTGAACATTACAGCATTACACTGCAGTGTAAATGTAGTTCACAATGACAGGTTGCCAATTCTTAGAGATGAGAAAGATAACTATGTAAAGATTCAGACTATGGGAATACCCACATGCCCAAACTTTACAGAGATACTACAGTTAGAAGTCCAAACCAAGACCTTCAAGCTGCAAGACAAGAAAACAMTTCAATGTTCTATCATATAGCCTCCTTCTATTGTTATTGCTGTGCAAAATAAGCTAATTATTAAATATATTGCTCTTAATTACAGCATATCATACAAAGTAATCTCAAAAATGGACTCATTTAAACGTAGCACAAAAAGTAAGGAAATTAGTGTTTAGTAGATTATTTCTTATTTCTTTGTTGTAACAATGCTTTTTGACAATAAATCTTATAGCCGGCATCTAATTGGCAGCACCAGGGGTTACCAGAAGCTCAAAACAAGAGTCAGCAAAATAAGCTGTTGACATAGAAGATTTGGAAAGTTTGGTCAGCTGCTAATYGCACAAATATTCCTAACAAATGTGGCACCATTTACAAGGTAAATTACCAGGCCTTCCAACAGGATAAGATTTATTGCCAAGGTGAATTGTTACAAAAAAAGAAATAATCTATTAAAAACAAAATTTCTTACTCTTTGTTATAAGTGGTCTTATGAGCAAAATGTAATAAAAAAAGTCTTGACATAAAATTTTAAAGTCTAGCCATGTACTCAGCTATTTAAATGTCCCTGCATGCCATGTACTGCTTAGTATGAATGATATTTTACTTCAATTCCAATCATTCTGTTATCTAACAATGCTGAATAACATCTTAGAAAGATTAGCATGTGCTGAAATGACAAGTAAAATATCATGGAAGGTTTTGCTATTGCATGCAACGCAAGTTCACGTACAATCTCTGCTTTCTGACTAATCCCACAAATCATTCTCTAACATTATCTGCAAAGTGATGAAGAAACATTCATCACTTCAGTGCCGAATGACTTTTCCAATTTTGTGAATGTACTGACAGAACTATCCATCCATCCATCCATCTTCTGTACACGCTTCTTCTTTTC